TGGCAGAAACAGGCACAATACCGTGGCAGCAAAAGACACAATACCGTGGCTGCAACAGGCATAATACCGTGGTAGTAACAGACACAATACCGTGGCTGAAACAGGCACAATACTGTATCTTCAACAGACACACTATCGTGGCTGCAACAGGCACAAAGCCGTGGCAGTAACATACACAATACCGTGGCTGAAACAGGCACAATACTGTATCTTCAACAGACACAGTATCGTGGCTGCAACAGGCACAAAGCCGTGGCTGCAACAAGCACAATACCGTGGCAGCAACATACACAATACCGTGGCTGCAACAGGCACAATACTGTATCTTCAACAGACACAGTATCGTGGCAGCAAGAGACGCAATACCTTGGCTGCAACAGGCACAATACTGTGGCTGCAACAGGCACAAAACCGTGGCTGCAACAGGCACAATACCTTGACTGCAACAGGTACAATACCGTGGCTGCAACAGGCACAATACCGTGGCTGCAACAGACACAATACCGTGGCTGCAACATGCACAATACCGTTGCTGCAACAGACACAATACCGTGGCTGCAACAGACACAATACCGTGGCAGCAACAGATACAATTCCGTGGCTGCAACAGGTACAATACCGTATCTTCAACAGACACAACATCGTTGCAGCAACAGGTACACTACCCTTGCTGCAACAGACACAATATCGTGGCTGAAGCAGGCACAATACCGTGGTTGCAACAAACACAATACCCTGGCAGCAACAGGTACAATACCGTGGCTGCAACAAACACAATACCGTGGCAACAAGAGACACAATACCGTGGCAGCAACAGACACAATTTCGTGGCCGCAACAGGCACAATACCGTATCTTCAACAGACGCAATACCGTTGCAGCAACAGGTATAATACCATAGCTGCAACGGACACAATATCGTCGCTGTAACAGGCACAATACCGTTGCTGCAACAGGCACAATACCGCGGTTGCAAGAAACACAATACCCTGGCAGCAACAGGTACAATACAGTGGTTGCAACAGACACAACACTGTGGCAGAAACAGGCACAATACCGTGGCAGCAAAAGACACAATACCGTGGCTGCAAAAGGCACAATACCGTGGTAGTAACAGTCACTATACCGTGGCTGCAACAGGCACAATACCGTGGCAGCAAAAGACACAATACAGTGGCTGCAACAGGCACAATACTGTATCTTCAACAGACACAGTACCGTGGCTGCAACAGGCACAAAACCGTTGCTGCAACAGACACAATACCGTGGCTGCAATAGACACAATACCGTGGCTGCAACAGACGCAATACCGTGGCTGCAACAGGCACAGTACGGTGGATGCAACAGACACAATACCGTGACTGCAATAGGTACACTACCGTAGCTGCAACAGACACAGTACCGTGGCAGCAACAGGCACAATACCGAGGCTGCAACAGGTACAATTCCGTGGCTGCATTTGACACAATACCGTATCTTCAACAGACACAATACCGTTGCAGGAACGGGTACAATACCATGGCTGCAACAGGCACAATACCGTGGTTGCAACAAACACGATACCCTGGCTGCAACAGATACAATACCATGGTTGCAACAGACAATGCTGTTGCTGAAACAGGCATAATACCGTGGCTGCAACAGGCACAATACCGTGGTTGCAACAAACACAGTACCCTGGCTGCAACAGGTACAATTCCATGGTTGCAACAGACACAATGCTGTTGCTGAAACAGGCATAATGCCTTTGCAACAACAGGCACAATTCCGTGGCAGCAACAGGCACAATACCGTGGCTGGAACAGGCATAATACCGTGACTGCAACAAACACAATACCGTGGCAGCAAAATACACAATTCCGTGGCTGAAACAGGCACAAAACCGTGGTAGTAACAGACACAATACCGTTGCTACAACGGCCACAATACCGTGGCAGCAACAGACACAATACCGTGGCTGAAACAGGCACAATACTGTATCTTCAACAGACACAGTATCGTGGCTGCAACAGGCACAATACCGTGGTAGTAACAGACACAATACCGTTGCTACAACGGCCACAATACCTTGGCTGCAACAGGCACAATACTGTGGCTGCAACAGGCACAATACCTTGACTGCAACAGGTACAATACCGTGGCTGCAACAGACACAATACCGTGGCAGCAACAGACACAATACCTTGGCACCAACAGACACAATACCGTGGCAGCAACGGACACAATACCGTGGCAGCAACAGACACAATACCGTGGCAGCAACGGACACAATACCGTGGCAGCAACAGACATAATACCGTGGCAGCAACAATTCACAGTACCGTGGATCCTGTGGAAAATAATGTATTTTCCGGAAAAAATACAGTGTATTTTTTATGTAAATTAGTGTAGTACATTGAGAGACTCGCCATGTTGGAACTGGTCAACACAAACGTTAGTGAATAATGGGAAGAATTTTCGTGCTCTAGAGGTTAAATTGGGCTGACACCTCTCAAATAGGAGCCGAAATTGTTGGATGTGCATTCCTGCATAACTTGAGATATCAGGCGACTGGACAAGACAGCTCCAGGAACCTCAGATAAGTCTGTTAATGTTTAACTCTGGCCAGTGTTATTTTCATGTATAGACAATGAGGTTTTCTGAGTATGATACACCTTAATCTCCAGTCAAATTGGTGAGTGATTTTAAGATATATTCTCCTTCTGTTATGTAAATGTGTGTATATATAATCATTTATTATTTTTAATATACAGTCCACCAATTTTTATATTTACCAGAATTCCTGGTGTGTATGCATATTTCATTTGTAATTAATAGGCCTAGAGCAACTTGTGGATATGACAGTTGTAGGTATCAAAGGGGGACATTTTTGCGACCTAGGTGTCCCAAATTCCTACTTGTCTAAGTAACTTTGATAAATAATAATTATCTGTGTTACCATTTACTGATATGTACCTTATGAATTACATCGAGATAAATGCAATTTTCCACAGATCCAACAGTCACAATACCGTAGTTGCATTAACTCACAATTCCGTGGTTGCAACACTGACAATACCTTGGCTGCAACAATTCACAATACTTTGGTTGCAACAGTTCACTATACCGTATCTGTAACAGGCGCAATACTGTGGCTGCAATAATTTATAATCCCACAGTTACTATGATTATTATTATTATCGTTATTATTACTAGGTTAAGCGCTAAATTCTGATTTGTTCCAAGGGAAGAGAGAGTGGCTCCAGTTCTCTGAATCAAGAGCCCTTCATCAGCATGCAGGTACCTCCTTTGTAGGGCACAGATGACCAGGAGAACATTGATTCTGCGACTATTAACATGCGGGAGTTTTGGTTATAATGAAAGCAACACATAGTACAGAACAACGATTATCTTAGACAGTGATGTCAAACGACGCTGTGTCTACCCTGCACTGGCTACGTCTAGTATCTGGGCAGAGCAAGTGCAGGCAACGTTTTTTGTCAAACTATATCGCTTCTACAGTATTCTGGGTACGTCAGGCTATGGACAACGGGCAAGGTGGTACGTGTTTTTACTCCACCAAGTCGCTTCGTGAGTGTTCTGCCTACCAGCTTATGGACACTGGGAACATTAAGAAGCGCACACACTGCCTTTCTCAGTCTGTGTCGTTTCGAGCAAGCTTACACAATGATTTTTTTTCACTCCTCGTCGTCTCGAGCGTGTGCTGGCAGCTTCAAGCTTATAAACACTGGGCAGGGTGAGCTTAAATGTGATTTCTTCCCTAGCCCGTCTCTTGGACCTTGTGTTGGTGTCCAGTGATTAGAAACTGAGACGACTTGGCTCTCACTCGCCTGATAAAACTATATGAAGGTCTTTTCCTGAGTCAACTCAAACTCTTATCAACCCCACCTGTGTTTCAAGTGTTGACGTAGATGTATTATGAAATCATACATACACATATAGATGCTTGTCTCAGTGTATATACATCCAGAGTTCACTGTAATCGCTATTTTAGAGCTTAAATTTTCACTATGGAGAGGTTACATGTGTCCTTGATGACCCTCGTATTGTCCCCAATTGACAAATAAAAATTGCAAACATTATCCCAGGAAGTTTTCTGTTTCATAATCAAGGGAAAGGAGTAAATGGCATTATTTACGTTATCGTTTAGAAAATACCTATAGAGTGAATAATGGTCAATGTGTTTAATTTTCATGAGTGGCCTCTACCTTGGTGCGAGACGACCGGTATGTTAAAAGTATATAAATTCATTGTTCTTAAGAGCAGTTTATTGCAAGTTTGAGTGGAGCTGCTCAAGAGCCTCTTCATGTGTTCGACTGTAAATTTATTGTCATATTTGTTTTGCAGTTAAATTTGTGAACACATGATCATTGCAACTTTCGGGCGAAAACCTCCGGGCTTCTTTTCCAAGTATTTTCCAAGTGTTTTGTAAGTGTTTTCCAAGTGCTTTCCAAGTGTTTTCCAAGTGTTTTCCAAGTGTTTTCCAAGTGTTTTCCAAGTGTTTTTTGCGTAAACATTATCTTTGCAAACAGGATCAAACTGTATGCTTTTCTTCTGGAACTGTTTTGCCTCAAATTCATGGTTGCTATACAATGATATTTGTAATGAAAGATAGGGAGGGAAATAAGCCATTCTTAATGTGGAGGATAAAGACGCAAAGAAGTCACAGGGATGTCAGAAAGTCTGTCAGTCTGAAAGCAGTTTAGGAAGTGGAATGATCTGAGTGAGAAAGTACTGGAAGTAAATTTCGTGCAGAGTTTTAAGAGTAGACATGATAGGGTCCATGAGGATAGGAGTAGTTGAGAGGCGGGGCCAGGAACTAAGACTACCCTAGTATCCACAACTAGCTGAGTGTGTGCGTGTGTTTGTATTTGTCTCCTTGTAAGTGTCTGTGTTTGTATGTATCTGTTTGTATGCGTCTGTGTTTGTATGTATCTGTGTTCGTATGTGACTGTGTTTGTATGTGTCTGTATGTTTGTGCCTGAGTGTGTCCGTACTCACCTATATGTGGTTGCAAGAGTCGATTCACAACTCCTGGCCCCGCCTCTTCACTGGTCGCTACTAGGTCCACTATCTCCCTGCTTCTGTTTCACTTAACGTCTCTGTGTAAAAGCATTATTCCTCGTGGCAGGTATTTTCTTATCTGATCTAAGCTGCATAATAAGCCTGGATCAAGATAAAAAGTCTGTCAGCCTGAGCTGGGACACTACAATACTGAAACTGAAATTGAATTTCCTCTCACCCTCTCCTCTCTTCTCTTCTCTTCTCCTCTCTCCTTTTCCCAGAAACATTAATTACATCTTTACACTTCGAAGAATCTGTTCGAGAATTTTGTCTCTCCGTGTTCACTTCACGAATCAACTGGTTATAAAGAGGAAAATGGAATTTTTAAAACGACGGTTTCTCTCTCTCTCTCTCTCTCTCTCTCTCTCTCAATCTCTCACTCTCCTCTCTCCTCCTCTCTCTCTTCGTCTCTTCTCTCTCTCTTCTCTCTCTCTCTCCTCTCGTCTCTCTCCCCTCTCTCTCCTCTCGTCTCTCTCTCTCATCTCCCTCTTCTCTCGCTCTACTCTCCCCCCTCTCTCTCTCTCTCTCTCCCCTCTCTTCTAATTCAATAAATAAATAAATACCATTAGGAGATGTTTATTTTTGTCCACACTGCATCTACACGACATTATGCCTACACCTGATTATTATAACTACAAACCTGAACCTGATACACAGGAACTAGTCAAGTAAAACAGTTAGGTGAGGTAAGGTATGGTCAGGAAACATGACATGACAAGTGTTTTCCTGACGCGGGTCTTCGTCAGGTGATGATCAGCCTTTGGAGCTTTGGTCATCTGACCGAGGCCTTCCGCTGGCTTACCGGTCCACCCGTTTAAAAATTATGGTCAGTTATACCCATTTTAGTTATTTATTATCAAATCAGTGTGGAACAAGTGTACCGCCTTCCTGAAGCACACAGTGTGGAACAAGTGTACCACCTTCCTGAAGCACACAGTGTGGAACAAGTGTACCACCTTCCTGAAGCACACAGTGTGGAACAATGTGACCACCTTCCTGAGCACCACAGTGTGGAAGACAAGTGTACCCCTTCCTGAAGCACACCCGTGTGGAACAAGTGTACCACTTCCGAAGCACACAGGTGGAAAAACAAAGGTGTACCGCCTTCCTGAAGCAACAACAGTGTGGAACAAGTGTACCACCTTCCTGAAGCACACAGTGTGGAACAAGTGTACCACCTTCCTGAAGCACACAGTGTGGAACAAGTGTACCGCCTTTTCCAGAAGCAACAACAGTGTGGAACAATGTACCACCACCTTACCCTGAACCACATCAGTGTGGAACAAGTACCACCTTCCTGAAGCACAGTCGTGTGGAACAATGTACCACCTGTCCAGAAGCACACATCAGTGTGGAACAATGTAACCACCCTTCTCCAGAATTGCACACAGTTTGGGCACAAGATACCACCTTCCCTGAAGCACACAGTTGTGGAACAAGTGTACCATCCTTCCTGAGCACACATCAGTGGTGGAACAATGTAACATCTCCTGAAGCACACATCAGTGTGGAACAATGTACCACCTTCCTGAAGCACACAGTGTGGAACAAGTGTACCACCTTCCTGAAGCACACAGTGTGGAACAATGTACCACCTTCCTGAAGCACACATCAGTGTGGAACAATGTACCACCTTCCTGAAGCACACAGTGTGGAACAAGTGTACCGCCTTCCTGAAGCACACAGTGTGGAACAAGTGTACCACCTTCCTGAAGCACACAATCTAGTGGAACAATGTACCACCTTCCAGAAGCCACACAACAGTGTGGAACAATGTACCACCTTCCTTAAGCCACCACATCAGTGTGGAACAATGTACCACCTTCCTGAAGCACACAGTGTGGAACAAGTGTACCACCTTCCTGAAGCACACAGTGTGGAACAAGTGTACCACCTTCCTGAAGCACACAGTGTGGAACAAGTGTACCACCTTCCTGAAGCACACAGTAGTGGAACAAGTGTACCCTTCCTGAAGCACACAGTGTGGAACAAGTGGTTCCACTTCCCTAAGCACCACACAGTGTGGAACAAGTGTACCGCCTTCCTGAAGCACACAGTGTGGAACAGGTGTACCGCCTTCCTGAAGCACACAGTGTGGAACAAGTGTACCGCCTTCCTGAATGCCACGGCGGGGATAGAGTGAGGTGAGAACAAGTGTACCGCCCTTCCTGAATCGCACACAGTGTGGAACAAGTGTACCACCTTCCTGAAGCACACATCAGTGTGGAACAATGTACCACCTTTCCTGAAGCACACACATCATTGTGGAACCATGTAACCCCTTTCCAGAATCACCTTCAGTGTGGAACAAGTGGTACCTGACCATCTGAGCACACATCAGTGTGGAACATTGTACCACCTTCCAGAAGCACACATTCAACAGTGTGGAACAAGGTGTACTACCACCTTCCTGAAGCACACATCAGTGTGGAACAAGTGTACCACCTTCCTGAAGCACACATCAGTGTGGAACAAGTGTACCACCTTCCTGAAGCACACAGTGTGGAACAAGTGTACCACCTTCCTGAAGCACACATCAGTGTGGAACAAGTGTACCACCTTCCTGAAGCACACATCAGTGTGGAACAAGTGTACCACCTTCCTGAACCACATCAGTGTGGAAACAAGTTGTAACGCCTTCCTAAGCACACATCAGTGTGGAACAAGTGTACCGCCTTCTGAAGCACACAGGAGGAACAAGTGTATGTAACCGCCTTTCCTGAAGCAACACATTAGTGTGAACAATTGTACACCTTCCTGAACACACAATGGGACAAGTGTACCGCCTTCCTGAAGCACACATGAGTGTGGAACAAGTGTACCACCTTCCTGAAGCACACAGTGTGGAACAAGTGTACCGCCTTCCTGAAGCACACATGAGTGTGGAACAAGTGTACCACCTTCCTGAAGCACACAGTGTGGAACAAGTGTACCGCCTTCCTGAAGCACACATCAGGTGGGAACAAGTTACCCGCCTTCCTGAAGCACAACATGAGCGGGGAACAGTGGTACCACCTCCTGAAGCAACACAATCAGTGTGGGAACAAAGTACCACCATCCTGAAGCACACATGATGTGGAAAACAATGTAACCACAAAAACCTTCCTGAAGTCACACATCAGTGTGGAACAAGTGTACCACCTTCCTGAAGCACACATCAGTGTGGAACAATGTACCACCTTCCTGAAGCACACATCAGTGTGGAACAAGTGTACCACCTTCCTGAAGCACACAATCGAGTGTTGATACAAGTGTACCACCTTCCTGAAAGCAACACCATCAGTGTGGAACAAGTGTACCACCTTCCTGAAGCACACATCAGTGGGAACAAGTGTAACCACCTTCCTGAAGCACACTTCAGTGAGGAACAAGTGTAACCATACCACCTTCCTGACGCACACATCAGTGTGGAACAATGTAACCACCTTCGTGAAGCACCTTCAGTGGTGGAACAAGTGGAAAACCACTATCCTGAAGCACACTTCAGTGTGGAACAATGTAATCCACCTTCCTGAAGCACACATCAGGTGTGAACAAGTGTACACACCTCCTGAAGCACACTTCATGTGAACAAGTGTACCACCTTCCTGAAGCACACATCATGTGGAAAACAATGAACCACCTTCCTGAAGCACACATCAGTGTGGAACAAGTGTACCACCTTCCTGAAGCACACTTCAGTGTGGAACAAGTGTACCACCTTCCTGAAGCACACATCAGTGTGGAACCAATGTACCACATTCCTGAAGCAAGCAACACATCATGTGGGAACCAAGTGTACCACCTTCCTGAAGCACACCTCATTGGAAACAAGGTACCACCTTCCTGAAGCACACATCAGTGTGGAACAAGTGTACCACCTTCCTGAAGCACACATCAGTGTGGAACAATTACCACCTTCCTGAAGCACACATCAGTGTGAACAAGTGTACAACCTACCTGAGCAACAACATCAGTGTGGAACAAGTGTACCACCTTCCTGAAGCACACTTCAGTGTGGAACAAGTGTACCACCTTCCTGAAGCACACATCAGTGTGGAACAAGTGTACCACCTTCCTGAAGCACACTTCAGTGTGGAACAATGTACCACCATCCTGAAGCACACATCAGTGTGGAACAAGTGTACCACCTTCCTGAAGCACACATCATCCCGTGGAACAATGTAACCACCTTCCAGAAGCACACATCAGTGTGGAACAAGTGTACCACCTTCCTGAAGCACACATCAGTGTGGAACAATGTACCACCTCTCTTGAAGTACACAGTGTGGAACAATGTACCACCTTCCTGAAGCACACTTCAGTGTGGAACAATGTACCACCTTCCTGAAGCACACATCAGTGTGGAACAAGTGTACCACCTTCCTGAAGCACACTTCAGTGTGGAACAATGTACCACCTCCCTGAACACACTTCAGTGAGAACAATGACCACCCTTCTGAAGCACACTTCAGTGTGGAACAAGTACCATCCTCCGGAAGCACACAATCAGTGTGGAACATGTACCACCTTCCTGAAGCACACTTCAGTGGGAACAATGTACCACCTTCTGAAGTCACACAACAAGTGTGGAATGGCTTCAAGGACCACGACCTTCCTGAAGCACACTTCAGTGTGGAACAATGTACCACCTTCCTGAAGCACACTTCAGTGTGGAACAATGTACCACCTTCCTGAAGCACACATCAGTGTGGAACAAGGTACCACCTTCCTGAAGCACACTTCAGTGTGGAACAATGTACCACCTTCCCTGAAAGCACGACATCAGTGTGGAACAAGTGTAACCACCTACCTGAAAGCACACTTCAGTGTTGAGACAATGTACCACCCGTTCCTGAAGCACACATCAGTGTGGAACAAGTGTACCGCCTTCCTGAAGCACACATCAGTGTGGAACAAGTGTACCACCTTCCTGAAGCACACTTCAGTGTGGAACAAGTGTACCACCTTCCTGAAGCACACTTCAGTGTGGAACAAGTGTACCATCCCTTCCTGAAGCACGACATCAAGTGTGGAACAAGTGTAACCACCTCCTGAAGCACACATCAGTGTGGAACAAGTGTACCACCTTC